GTGGCAGCCAAGATCCACCCCTGTTCTACTAGGTAGAGATGTAGCCTACGATATGGATTTTCAATAAACAAGAATTACCTGCTTCTCTTGGCAGGTACCAATAAGATAATCGATCGACATATGACCCCCTGTAGGGAAACATTCCTCACCTCAATAATGATCAATGATGATCACATAAACCAAAGAGAAAACAAAAAGTTAAACAATTTAATTCATATTTTATAAACATTTTCATTTGATCTTAATTGAAATCAGTCTGTTGACAGAGTGTTGTGTTTTGTGCAGTGATTTCTTTGGTGTTTAATTAAATATGTGCGGCTATCCTTTAAAAAAAAAAAAATCAACCACAACTGTTACTATTGACTATTGACTAAGATTCTCATCAACCAGCTGAAGATGTGTCCAGAAGCACTTATGGGAGCCAATGCACACTCATTCTCATCTTTTTTGAACCTATAGTCATTCTATTAATTACTATCATTACATTTGCCTGTGCAAATGTGTGTACACTGTATGAGCCCTTTAAAGCCTCAGAAATGTAAATGTGTCTCCACAAGGCTTTCCAAACATTTGATCATTTATCTGCTGATAGGCCCCTTGTTCCATTGTTAGGAAACCATACTATGCTGTTTGAATGTGGTGCATTGACACTTTTATTGCACTGTTTTCCCTACTGCCAATTTGTGCAGCTTTACACGGAAATATAGCCATTTAAATGGTGATGTGAAACAATGGTTTTATACGTCCAAAAAGCTTCCACACAGCCAATGTTACACATCTTTTGTACTGCAGATCACCAAATCAATAATTACTTGGTACTTAACATCACTAATTCATTTATAATTGATCACTACACTAGAGCTCTGACATCTCCTTGTGGTAACAATGCAAAACTACAGCACAGTGGAGAGTAGGATCTGAATGAATGAAAGCCCTGATCTGAGGTTCTGAAGGGGTGAGAGGAGAAGAGAGAGGCAGGGAAGAGACTCTACCTGTTGTATTTCACCAGTTCCCCTCTCTTTTACCATCCCTTCTTTTTAGATTAGCTAATTTTAGTATCCAAATTCTTCCCTTCACCCATCAGAATTTAGGCTTTATCAGGAACTATCTGCTGTGTTTGACACTATCTGTCTTCTCCATGCCAAGCAGTACTTTGATGGGTTTGCTTCATCTTTTTATTAATTTATTATTTTATTAACAACAGGATAACATACAAATCCAGGTAAACAATAGCAGCACATACCATTCAAAATACATAACATAAAATGATAATTGCATAAAATAAAAAATAAAATAAAAAAGGGGTACATAAATACATCAATAAAACAACTGGCTTGGGGCCACTGCTTGTATTGGGATCTCATTATCAACCAATATAAAATAATCAGCAAGAAATCTAGGTATTACCTTTGACTCCCAACTGAACTTTGAACAACATGTCAACGATCTCATTAAATCCTGTAACTTCCGCCTAAGAAATAGCACCAAAGTTAAACCATTTTGAGTTCTCCTGACTTAGAAAGGCTTATACATGGCTTTGTCTTCTCTTGCATGGACTACTGCAATGCTCTGTGTACATGCCTCAGTGAATCTTCAGTAGCTCAGCTTCAGCTTGTACAGATTGCTGCAGCTCTCCTATAACCCCAATTCTTGCCTCCCTTCATCAGTTACCAGTTCAGTTCTGGATTGATTTTTAAATTATTTTAATAACTTTTAAGGCCCAACATGGCTTGGCCCCTAGTTACATCACAGAGCTCTTAACACTCACAATCGTATCCTGAGATCCTCAAGCCTACATCTGTTAGCTGTTCCTAGGTGATGGTTGGTGACTAAGGGTGACCAGGCTTTTGCCGTCATGGACTCCTAGGCTCTGAAACTCCTTGTCCGAGGACATAAGGCTTGTCAGCACATTACCTGCTTTTAAATCATTGCTTAAAACATGTTTTTATAGGATAGGCTTTTGTGATGCCTGATTTGTAATTCTTGATGTTGTTACTGTGTTGTTTTCTTTTCTTTTATTCTTATATTTTAACTGTGTTTTTTATGATTTCTTATATTTTATTTTTGTTGTTTGTTTTTATTTCATTTATTTTGTCAAGCACTTTGTATTTGAACTAAAAAACATTACATTATTTTTTAGCAATTTTAAACTAAATTTTCAGACATGTTTCCAAATACATGTCTACTTTCATTTCATCACTTAGTCTAAAATATGGCCATAACAGATAATTCATTTGACATTTTTTAACATGTTATTTTTTAAATGTATCTAATTAATGTGTTAGATTTGACAGCATTTGATACCAAATTAGGGTGGCTGATTTAGCTGATACCGATAACCGATAATTGCCTTCTTCTCATGGCCAATACTGATAATAATTTAACAGTTTTGTATTTTAAAAAGAAGTTCATAACCTGTTGAGAAAGGCTGAGATGTAGTGAGCAAAGATGGATGATTTAATATTCCACAACTCTCTTCGAACAAACAACAGGTCTGACTCTTCAAATGTTTATTTATTTTTCACCCAAACAAATCACAAACATACCTACGTTTTGCACAAAAGTTTAAAATAAATTGTCATTATTAGTATATTGACCAATAATTTATTAGCTATAATTTTATTATCATAATAATATAAATTTCGTATATCGACTAATCATTAATTTGCTTTCATTTTATTATTGGTATAAAGTAAATGTCCAATTATCGACCAATAATCTATCGGCGGAGAACGGATGTGTACATTCCCTTTTGATTCGTGACCCCGGGCCCCCTTGGCGTAGCGCCTCAATTTCCCAGACTGCATAATTTCGTGTGCGTCCGCCATATTGCCTTCGCCTAAACGCGGATCGTCTCGCAGCCACAACTGAAAATGTAAGTACATAAACAATTATATTTTATGCAAGCTAGAGATAATTTGATGTTATGTGTGTATGAGTATATTGTAACCGGTCGCATTCGACTTTGCAACTGTTTAAATAATGGAAATAAGGTCCCAGAAGCCTTACCCTAACCCTACCTCAGGAGATCGCTGCGGCGGCTGTTTCTCTGTTGTTGTTTTTCCCTCTGTCACAGCGACAAAGTGCATTCACGACTCCCTCGCAATATTTGAGATATTAGCTTTCTGTGTCGTTAGCTGTAATATTTAATTACACACGAAGGAACGCCCTGCTATTCTCTCGGTAACATAAATGCTATATCTTAAGCTTATTTTGGCTGTAATGTTAGAAGAATGGCTAGCTTCGGTGGTAGCTAGTTAGCATTAGCAGAGCCCCACGGATTCCACATGAAATCAGTGTGCGGGGGCCGTCTATTAACTGCTGTTTATTAATAGTTAGTGCTAATTAGAAGGGCTGAATCAAATGTCAGTATAAAGCTGCTCCGTGTCTTGCGCTAGCTAGCAAAACTATCCTCATATGGAAGCCAATAACCGTAGATAACATGTATTTAAAGTGAGTCAGTAATGATAACACACTGGGCTTTGTTTATTGACATGGATGGGTGCTTGGGGGCAGGGAATTAGAAGTTGTGGTCAAGGTTGGTGTCTCCGTTGTTGGTTTTTTCTTTCTTGGCGTTTTGTTAAGCTTCTGTGAGAAGATGAGTTCGCCTAGAGCCACCCAGTGTGTTTCTGATGGACCACCCCCACTTTCACCTCTCTGTCACATGTATGGCAGCATGGCCACACAACTGCGGCAATCTGAGGGTGCAGTGGAAATGTTGACACTCAGATTTCTCGGTTTATCTGTTTGTCTTGTCTAAAAGGCATTAGCATTAGGCCCAGTACCCAGTGTGGGTTACCCCGGGTTCACTCCAATGTATTTTGGTCATGAATTTAAGCTATGCACCGCCCCAAGGTCTCAGATAGCGCCGACAAAGCGGCATCAGAAACCAAACAATTCTTTGAATTGTCTGTTGAACTGAATTGAGCTATGGTATTTGGAAAAATCACTTTTCTAGCTCTCCAGATAAATATTTATTTACTCCTGTGGAATAAGCAATATATTATTCCTGGGATTTCACTTAAAGCTGGATAATGCTGTAACATTGTTAAGCAACTTTAAAGCTGCAGTAGGTGATTTTTATGAACATTTGGTCATATTTGCATTTTGCAGCTCTCCTGCTCCTTCTAGTGCTCCTGGTGGCTTTTGCAAGAATCCAACGGGCCTGGATGAAAACAACCAATCAGAGCCAATGCAAATGTAGTGCAGTAGTTATGTATGTAAACAAGCAGGACCCAACCTTTTTGAGTAGCGTCAAGAACGTTTCCTCTGGTGATGTCATTTTTCCACAATGACTGAACAAATAAATGTTTGTGAAAGCATGGCAATTGCAAATAGAATAATTCAAGATTGCATGTTAAAGCCTCAATCTAGGTACATTAAAGTGTTTAGTCTTACTCTAAAAAACAACGAGACATGATGAGAAATGGTGAACATGGATATAGATACTCATAAACAGCCATGATGAAGAGCAGCTGTGTCAGATTCAGATGTTCTGAATAAAATTAGAAGCAGCTGGTGTCTGTCCCCCTCCATTTGTGCTTCTGCTCTAAATAAAATACTTCTATTTTATTAAATCTAGATCCCCACTGTTTAATATACCCATTCTTAAATGTGTTGTTGAAATATAGTTTCTCACTAATGGGGTCAACTTGATCAGTAAGCTTCAAGGACATGTGTACAGCTCAAAATCAGATCTGGGTGTTGTGAACTAATGTTCATTTGAAAAGTCTGTTATTTCACAACCATTTCAGTGATGAAAATGTCCATTCATTGCACTACAACCTTATCCTAAAAATAGGCCTGTGGATAACAAACACACAAATATGTGGCCCCAGATTTGTACTGTAGTAAGCCTTCTGACCTGCCACCACCAGCTGTACAAATGGACTGAATAGTTTCTCTCGGCTAAAGTGGTCACAATTCCAGAATTGAAAACTTTGCTAAAATATTATTTAGCCTGGCTCCTATGGCTCTTTTCAGTCCAATACCGATTTTAGAGGGGGGGAAATCACTGGTTACCCATATATGCGCTGGAATAAGAATACAAATAACTTTATTAAAGAATATTTAAGTTAAATATTATTATTATTATTATTATTATTATTATTTAACATATAGGTTACATTGTCAACCAGTTCTAGAAATGTACACTGATAAAATCAAAAATAAATATAAATAAAATAAATGGCTAAACATCAGTACCAGGAAAATATTCCTAATATTCCATATATGCTGATACTGCTGTGTCTGCGATATGCTGATATATCGGGTGGGTTCTAATACTAGTTTTAAAAAGATACTTGATACCACAGCAACAAGTACAGTGCTTGTACAGAAAACATTACTGAACACACATGGAGACCAGTTGGTTCTCTTCCCAACTGTTTCATCTGTCTAGCCTTAGTACTTTCGATACTATTGAATGATACTATTAAATCATTTTAAACGTGGTATTGATCCTTTTGACAACCTCACTTCAGGCTGAGCTCTCATTTGTCTTTTTTATTGAGGACATGCTTGGTATATTATAATGGAAGCTGCTTGTGCACATCTAACTTCCTGAGTTTTCTGGTGTATGGAATGCACAATACAAAACAGAAATGATGAGTATAATCTAAATGAGCTATGACCAAAGTAAAATTTAGAAAAAGATGACAGATTTATAAAACAGGGCTACTATATAGAAGGGTATTTACATGAACCCAGTGCTCATAACTTTAAATGAATGAAATAAAATGATTCAGAAGCTAGAGCGGGTTGTCTATTAATTGCATCCCTCCTGTCGTATATCACTGTCTCAGAGTATTTTTTTCCTGCTATGGTAGAGAAGTGCTAAAAGTGCAGTCCATTTATCTGCACCCAAAAATTCCCACTAACTTTCTTTGTGTTTCAGTGTTGCAGTGATGACTCAGACAGTTCAGACCAACGGGGTCCAACCCCTCAGTAAGACCTGGGAGCTGAGTCTGTACGAGCTACAGAGAACACCACAGGTAACAATTCATACCATGGTTTATGAGGGTGCTCCGATTGAGAAGGGACGAAGCACATTAAAGTAGTTTCTCCACCAAATTTTAAAATAAGCTTATAAAGTCCAATTAAAATGGTAAATAAGAAATGACTTAGAGAAATATATTTTCTCTCCGCTACAGTTATTCTGTGGGAAACACTGTATATTTATTAAGTTCTAAAGTACTCCCAATAACCAGTGTAGGCTGCTCTGGTTTAAGTTGTGTCTCTAAGAGAGAGAGTGGAATATGTTGCTTGCCAGTAAATAAACAGTTGTTAATTCATGATACTTTCTCATCTCTTAACGTGAATACTTAATATACAGTGTTGTTAAGAATAGTTAAATAAATCAGGCTTTAAATAGACCCAGTGATCAATGTTCGGTGTCGGCTGTTATGCTTGCAGTGATTGTTAAAAACAAAAACCCTGATCGGAGCACCACTAATGTGTTTGTGTTTTTGTTTTAACAGATTTTTATCAATCACACATAGGGATGGGATAATAAACAGTATTATTGTGAGAAGAAACACTGATATCAGCACCGATTTTCAATGGATATAATAAATAAGTGTTTCTTAAAATCTAAGGTAGTGATTCCAGTAGCTTTTAGTACCATTTTAAAGGTGCAGAAATTTTGGTCAAGATAGCCATGACATGCAATGTTCATATCTTCAGTCCTAATCACACAGCATGTCGACTTGTGTTTCTGGCAGACATGTACCAAAAAATGACCTAATCAGTTCATATAACTATCACTGTGACACAGTCCCAGTCAGATCTGGAGCTCCCCCATGCTCCTGAAAATAGAACACTGACGAGTGCAATATCCAAAATGATGACTCTTCAGTTGCTGTGATTGGGAGATTTTTAGCACCTGTGATCTGTATCAACCGTGTACCTCTCCACAGATCGATGTATCTTTGTGCGTACTAACCTTCATCTCGATCTGTTTCGTACTGGCACAGGAGGCTATAACAGATGGACTGGAGATAGCAGTGTCGCCAAGGTCCTTGCACAGCGAACTTATGTGTCCCATCTGTCTGGACATGTTGAAGAACACAATGACAACCAAAGAATGTCTGCACCGCTTCTGCGCTGATTGTATCATCACAGCATTGAGATCTGGGTGAGTTCTATCATGCAGTAGAGACCAAGTGAGCCCATGCTGTCCCTGTAGTGGTATTCAGGTTTCTGCTACACCTGAGGGTGGGAACACCAGCTGATTCAGTTCTGTGAATGTCAGAGCTGTAGAGAATGAGTAGCAGTGACCTCTGAGATACGGGAGAGTGTCTCTACAATCAGACAAGATAAATCTTGAGAGAATCCAGCGCTAACTGCGAAGCTTAAATACTGGAGCTTGCGGAAGTGAAAAGCGTGTAAACAACTGTGGGAATAGTGGGAGGGCTATGTGAATTAGTGTATTTTAAATGTATGGGGGTAGTTAGTATTAATGGTTTTTCATGTCCATTCACACTACAAAAAGATCTCTTGTTAAAGCAGTTTCAGTGTAAATAATTGGAGATAAATCCACAGTCATATTTCTGTGCAAATAATAAACCTAGAAGTCATTTTTACACAGAAAGAAGACTGTGGATTTAGTCCCCCATTGCTTACATTGAAATTGCTTTAGAAAGGGATCTCACTGCAAGAATTGACAGGAGGAACAATTACAGCGACCACCAACTGTTTCAATGTACATATGAGAACATGAGTATTGGAAAAAATACGAAGATATCCTTTAAATAATATATTCATCTAGTATAAGCCCATACAATTAAATTGGGGTCTACTCAGCTCTACACTTGTTGGCTCTGGACAAGCTCTGTCATCAACCATTAAATCATGTCAAACGACATGTTATTGCACTGTTTGTCAGCCCAAAAAAACACACGAGCAGCTTGGAGGAGTAGTTACTCATTAGTCTGCGGCTCTCTTATGCCTGCAGGCAGTGACATTTGTTCTAATGTGCTTTTGACCACAAACTCTCTAAAAGGTTGTTAAGTAAATGCCAAGAAAATGTTTGTGTCAGTCAGTTATACATTGTCTGCTCTAAAGTACCCACAGTTAGCCTCAAGCACCTGTGCATATTGAGGTTTGACTCTTCTCATTTAGTTTTTCAGAGGTTCCGAGGAAGTGTATTGTTTGCAAGTCAAAATATAAGTAGTATAAAGTGGTATACATTGCATAAAAGCTGGGAACCTGAAGGCACCTATTCAAATATTGAAAGTGTATAAGGGCTTAGGACATTATCGTTGAAGTGTAATTATAATGGCCATTCCCACGTTCTATTATGTAAATATTATTAACATAAGTTGTGGCAGCCATTTTCTGGTTTGACACAATTTGGTGCAGAATTTTACCTTGACCACTTGAAAATTGATAAAAATTGTCAAAACCCGCTCGAAAATGCCACATTACAACACCAAGACCTTGAGGAACACTGTAGAAAACGTCATGCTGTTATTTGGTATCAAAAACTGTTGGCATTGTACATTTTCATGAGGCTGTATTATCACAAGTTGTTTTGTACAGTAAAGTCAAGTTTCAAAAAATGGTCTGACTACAATGAAATGGCTGCTATGGGGACAAACATCATTACACATGAATACAGTTAGTATTGCATCCTCAGCTTTCCAGTTATCCCCAATGTATGCTGTTTAGCATGCACATTTATACCATGTGCAAAAAATTGCAGGATTTTTGCCCAAAACTGCAGGCAATTAACATATAGTGGGCATGTCTTTAAAGGGGAGACCAGTGGGTACCCATAGAATAGATATAGATATATATAGATATAGATATATATAGATATAGATAGATATAGATATATATAGATATATATAGATATAGATAGATAGATAGATACCCTGATACTCACCGCCAGGGAGATACTAATAGATATAATAGATAGATATAGATAGAGATAAATATACTATATATATAATAATATTTCGTGATCGTACAGATGAGTTTCAAACTGTTCTCCTGTCCTTTGCAGTAATAGAGTGTCCTACCTGCGTAAGGCTGGGCCAAGAGTCGCTCGGCCCAGACCCTAATTTATGTCTCTGATTAGTAAGTAACCACACCAACTGTTTCAGCCCAGAAGGTTCACAGTCACTGGATAATTTATAGTGTCACGTTTAGTGAGTCAAATGCAGAAAGGGGAAAATATTCAATAAAGTTTGCTTATATTAATCTTATCAGGCAGATTTACCCCCAGCCGTAAGAGTAATCGAAGCTCACCAGGAGCAGGTGTTGGCGCCCATCAGGCAAACCACACACAACCGAACGCAAGCCCTGCCACAGATAGAAGGGGCTGAAGATACAGCTATGACCAGGTACACACCATGCAATCTCCAAACTCTGTTGCAACTAATGATTATTCTAGATCACCACCATTCATCTGCAGATTATTTTCTACATTAATGTCAAAAATAGTGGTCGTCCGCGGTTTCTCCCAAAGTCCAAGGTGGTGCTCTTAAATGTCTTGTCAGCCCAAAACCCAAAAGATAGTCTGTTTTAAAATGAATAATGCAACAGAAAGGCATTAATGCGCAACATTTTTGAGAGCGGGAAAACAGCATTTTCTGTTTTGCATTCAACCTAAAACTTTAACGATGAATAGATTATCAAAAAGATTGGCAGTTATTAAAGTTCTGTCAGTCCGACAAAACAAGATGGGGGCTCTTCAAACATTGCTGCTTAATAGGTATGAATTTGCACGTTTTTGGTCCCCAGATTGCAGCGCGGTAAAGAAGACACCAGCAGAGAACGGCAGCGGAGCGGAGGACAATGGAGACTCCTCGCACTGTACGGGCTAATGCTTCTGTCCCACAGGCAACGCAGGGTGTATGATGTTTAACATCGGTTATCAAACACACATGCAAGTGTACCCAGGTG